GGATGCACAAACAAAAATATACATGGCCAAATACATCCCTGGCAAAACTCAGTGAAATCTGGCATTTACCCAGTTGTTAGCTGCTTGTTGATTGAGGATTTCTCTGTTAGCCTTCAAATGGTGCAATAAATGAAGATTTCTTTTGCAGACATTCTTTTCCTGAAGTGTTCAAGACAAATAAACACCGTACCAGGAACTTTAGCCCAGCAAACTGTATTTGCTATTGCCACAGCAGGTGACATTTATCCTGCAGCCAGTGAGATGGCCAAAGGGTGAAATATAACCTAAAAATCAGGGCAGGCTCTCTTAATAATCTCTAGATCCTATGATTTCCCTCTGAGATTTCCTCCAGGGGCCAAATTATGCAAACATTAGTATTTTTTCATTTTATATTCCTGTCCTCATTCCCTGTCATCCCTGTGGGATAACCTGCAGGTCAGACATCTTATTGAAGAACATGAAAATACATTATAATATTGAATAATAAATGCTTCAGGTAATGCAAGCTGTCCCTGTGTCCCACCTTCTTGGAATATGAATAGAGAATAGCTGAGCTGAGGGAAGTCTGAGTGGCTCACATAGTGATTTTGAGGCATTCATATCCAGTCTGTGAAGCTGTCAATGATCTTACCCTTTGCATAAATCATCAGAGCAGATTTTGAAGTTCACTAAGCACTTCGGTTTGTGGCAGGGAGGTTCAAAAGCTACCTTCTATATAACTGGGCATTTCCTTTTTATAGTTTCAAATTATTTCATTTTTCTTGCTTTTAAAAATCTTTCAGTTCCAGGAGATCTGTTATTTTAAAGTATCTTGGTTCTCTTACATTGTATGGGAATATAACTTCCCCCATCTCCTCATCTTGACCATTTTTTCATGTTACTGAAGAGGAAGAAGTACCAAAGGTTTACTTTGTTTTCCTTTTGTCTGTGAGCACAGGGTTAACAGCAGAAGAGGGAAGAAGGGTTAGCAAAGGGGAGTGCTAGTCATGCGGACAGAGTGCCAGCAGCAAAGCTGGCACATGTTGTTCCATTCACATGGAGGTATGTTTTATTCATTTGCTGTTGATCATATTCAGTAGCTATAGGAGAGAAACAAGACCACCAGGGTAAAAGGGGAAATCTGGGTAAAATTCTGTAGCTTTGTCCCCCTTCGGTGGTAGATGGCTGCAGGAAGTGTGATTTTCTGTGACATTTTCACTGGATTTAAGACTAGCACTTTGAGTGGATTAAATATTACGGGGGAAAACAATCACAGCTCAGTTCCTAATGTTATTTATCTGACATCAGCTTGTTTCCATGCTGTTTTCACACTTGGCCCTCTTGCCATTCCATCTGCAGCTGAAATGGTCATCCAAACTCCTGTTATACTCAGGAAAGAAGGAGGTGGGTTTGGGATGTGACTCATTTGACATATCTTCAGGATACTTTTGGATTCAATGAGCTCTTATTCTCCAGGGAGTGTGTTGACTGAATCCCAGCTAAGTGCCTGGAGGGTTTTGGTGAATGTAGGCACATTCATTGGTGGTGGGAGTCAGACTCATCTCTTTTCAGTGCTGTTAACATCAAGATTTCTTGTTTTCCAAGAGCTGTGTGTGATACTTGTGCATCTTCAGCAGGCATGTTCAAGGAATCTGGGATGGGATTGTGTAGGGAAGTGGATCCTGTGCTCAGTCAGGTGGATCTTGCCCTTGCAAGAGCAAGATCTTAGGATCTTAAACTGGCAAAATCATATGTTAAAAGGCAGCAGGGTTACTAGGTTTTTTTTGCCTTACACAGTAAGTGAAAAATTGTCCGTGTTCCTTCTGTAGTACAACTGCAAGGCCAAGAAATGCTCTGATTGCTGGTTCAGAAATGAGGGAAGAGGTGCTGAGGAGGGCAAAGAAACACATCTGCACTGTGTGTGGAGCATGGGATGAGCTGACTAGGTGGCAGATGACTCCTCTTCAACATGCACCAGTCACAGTTCAGGTGCTGGAAGCAGCCATGCTATCACAGAAATCCCACCTTGCCTTGCCAAGCCAGCCTGGAGACCTCAATGGTGCAGTTCTGCCTGAAGTCAGGAAGGAAGCCGGGTAGAACATGGAGCTGAACCCAAACCTACAGCTAATTAGGAAATGATAGGGCTGTTGTCCCCACTCCAATGAAGATAAGGATGAACCTGTTTTTTTGGCCTGCTGGGAGGGTTTTGGCCTGCTGGGAGGGTTTGCAAAAGCAGCAAAAATCATTAATGATGCTTTAATTGAAGCTTTTACATGTAATATTAATAATCTATTAAAGCCAATGGGGTATGAAACTTTTGGAGCTGTAGTTTGAAATCACCTTGGATGAATATTGAACTGTAACTTTTTGGAGCTGTGTAACTCTTCACTAGCTTCTGGGAGAGATAAAACTTCTAGCAGGAACACATTAATTTCTGTAGCACAGACATGTTGTGATGGGAGAGTGGAGATTGTAAAGACAGGCAGTAGATACAAGATGCAGAGTTAATGGCTTTTCTGCATATTTTAGGGGAGGTGATGTGCTGGTTCCAGGCAGCAGCTGGTGAACTCAAGTCTGGAGCTCTGTGTAAGGCTGGTCAGAACTTGCAGGGATTTGCCAGGTGTGTGACCCAGAGCAAGGTGTGTATTCCTGTGGAGCTGGTGACTGTCTTAGCTAAGATGATGTTTCACAGCACAGTTTTTTGTGAAAACACTGATTTTTTCAGTGCCAGCTGGTTCTGCTTCATCAACTGGAAGGGGAAGTGCTGAGGGAAAAAGTTTGTCCTTCCTTTGTCCAGAGAAGGAGAATGCTGAATGTACAGATCTGAGCTGCAGCTTCCTTGGATTTCCAAACCAAACCTGTAGTGATATCCAAGGTGAGGGGAGAGCAACTGAGCATGAGCTGCCAGAGGGAAGTTAATGACCCTGCCATAGCTCCTTACTGCACTGGAGGGACTTAATTTTCCTATTATTTTGTGTTTTAGATAGTCCTTTTTTTTTTCAGTTGGGAAAGGAAAATAGAAAACCTCTACCTGGAACAGTGTATTGTGAGGGGTGGCTTCAAATGTGGAAAAGCAAGCACAACTAGGAGGCTAGAAAACTTCAAATTAAAAAGGGGTAAGGGGCATTATTCATACACCCTTCCCACTTTGCTTTTAATTCCCTTGCCTGGTAAAGTTTAAAGCAAAAGTTGAATCAGTTTATAATGACAGTGTGCAACAGTTTAGGGTATATCCTCCATAATATCTTTGTCTTTGGCACAGTGATAAAAAAGAACAACTTATTGTGATTATTAAACAAATATTTTGTCTCTGATTCCAGCAAGGAAAGGTGTACTCACGGTGTTGTTTTTGTTTGCCAGCTGCTTGCATGTACTGCAAAGACCTACAAACAGAACTAGTTTTGGTTTTTGTTGTCACATCAGGGAAGAGCCCTCCTCATCAATTAAGCAACTTTTGAAGCTCTGAAAGCTACAGTGTGAATCTGACACTGTGGTTCAAATTCTCAAGTGCAGCAAAAGAGAAATTCAGGTTTGGGCAATCCATATCTGTGAAAAGGGGACCATGATAACAACAGAAAATGCAGATCTAAAATGCAGACACAGGATTTAATTTTAACTGTTCATGAAAAGAGGCAGCAAGCTGCTGGAGAAATGGTGTTTCTCCTTTTCACTGTTTAATGTCTCAATACACTGAATTACACTTGGAAGTCATATACATTGAAGAATACTTTGTAGACTGAGCCCAAACAACAATGGTTTTACTGTGCCCTTTGTTTATTTTCCTCCTTTACCCAGTTCCAAAGCCTTTCTCTCTCACTGTCAGTAGCCTTTTTCTTGCTGCTGTTTGATCTTGTGGATATTATTTATTATCATTTGATATTTATTATCATTGAAACTCAAATTGTAGTTCAGAGAATGCTTTACTGAGAGTAATTTGTTCCCAGCAGGACCTTTTAGTTACACAGTAACATGAAGCATCAAAATGCCAGAAGAACATTATAAAAATAAACTGCCCTGGTGCTAAAATAAGCTTTAATTGATTGAGGATTGCACTGAGCCTGACAATCCAAACAATTTATTATTATTTTCCTTTCAAGCTTCAGCTACATGTGGTTTAAAGTGACTGAATTATAGTTGCAACATACCTTCCTACTGACAGTGCATGAAAGAAATCCCACGCACAAATTTCTTAGCTCCAGAGGAGCCGCTGGATACACCTGGAAGAAAATAAAAAAGCTGATTGAAAGTGATGTTTAAATAAAGTGATGTGAATGGGAACATTCGGAAAAAAAAAAACCCCAGCCCTATTCTGGCTGAATGCCATGCTGTGCTACCCTCTCCTCATCCCCACTCTTCTTTCCTTAATATCTGCCTGCACAGCACTGGGTCCTGTAGGCCATATGGTGTTGGTTGTTAATATTGGCTGTGGATAAATTACCATTCTGTCTTCCCTATTTTAGATGCTTCGAGAAAATAAACACGTCAAATTGACTGTACTCAGCTATTTAAATGAATAGCTGTTGCAGGGTCTCCAGCAAGAGGTCAATACCACTACCAAAGATTGTGGATAAAAGTGGAAAATTTTCTGACTGATGGATGTACTGGTGGTCCTGTTATAGAAAGAAATACATGGAATACAGCGCTGGAAGTAGTTGGAATATAGCTAATGTCAATGGGGTCATCATAAATCATAGAATCACAATTTGGGTTGAAAAGAACTTTAAGGACCATCTTGTTCCAGCCACTGCCCATCAGCAGGGACACCTTCCACTATCCCAGGCTGAGTTTAAGGCCTCACTGTAAGTCTTTCTCAAATCATAGCCCTGGACAATTAACTTGCAGCCAAGAGCCAAACAAGAATTTTCATTTAACTCCCAGCATCCTGAGAGGAAGAAGATGCTTCAATACATTTTTGGCTGTGGCTCTCCATCTTCCTGCCCACACCAGCACTGCCTGTAACAGTGCTGTAAAAGTCCAAGCTGCTGGCAGATGTCAGGGGTGATCCAGGCCCTGCCTGTGCCTGGGGCTTTTCCATCTGGGTAGGTGGTGCCGCCCTTGAGACTCTTAAACTTGTTTGGCAGCAAAATGGACCATTGTTGTCTTGGTTTTGCACTTGTTTGCAAGCCGAGCTATTTCCATGCTACCAAACATGACTTCCAAATTGCAATTCCTGCTGTCTGCCAAAGGGGCTAATAAGTCCTGCTCTCACCTTTCCTTCTTGCCTGGGTAAATTACAAATGACCATGGCAGGAGCTGACTCAGCTGATGCCTGGCTGCAGTGTCTGACTGTTCCAGGAATAGTCTTTATTTGTTACCCTAATACAGGAAAGCACGACCCGGTAATTTATGACAGATCACAGATCCAAAGAAAGGAATTTGAAAATGTCACCAACTTTATTAACAGCCATCTCTGTGGCCACCTTCAGGTCAGATCAGAGACTGTGCATGGCTTAACAACTGAATCCACATTGCCCCAGGAGGGGCAGAAAGGTGTGTCTTGTCACAGTACTGTTAAGGGTAGAGGTGTCTGTCTTCTAGGTTCCTTGTCCAGGGTCCAGTGGGCATTTCCACAGTGCCAGAAGAACACTCATATACCTCATAAAAAATAGGGATTTTTGAAGACCACAAAAGCCAGATGGATTATTTTTTTATTAATAATTTTTGTCATGGACTGAACTGAACCTGGACTAGCATGGATTATTTTAAAAAATCATGATGTGTCTGAATACTTACTGGTTTTGGCTAGAGGAGTAGCTCAGGTAAAGTAGTAGTTAGACCAGTGATTTGTAATGTGTTTAGCCAGCATTGTAATTAGTGCTATTGGAGGGCATAATGAAGAGTGGCTCAAAACCTGAATGTCTGGGCTGCTTGAAAGGTCATGGGAACCGAAGCTGAGGATTAATTCAAGAGGAATATACTTAATTACTTTGAATACAAAATCACTGTAGAACAGAGATATAAAGTTACCCTTGTAACTTTTCCTAAATAATTTTCTATAACAGGTCTCTTTTACACCTTGATTATAAGAGCAGTGTAAAAATTTGAAGGTTTTAATTAGCTGATAGTTCAGAAGAAATGTTTCATTTTCACATTTATATTCATTTTGATGAATACCACTCACTGACAGAACAAAAACACATTCCAAAATCTGATATGCTCTCTCTGTGAATTAATATGCAATATTACGTATTTTTAAAAACATCTGAGATTAACATTTTCACTTTTGCTGTAAAAATGTATTGTTGAAATAGTGAAATAGTTACTAATTGTGGTTTTCAACATTAGATAATGTGTGATCCTTATTCTGGCCATGGGAAATAATTTGTTCAGTGTGATGGTACTATTGGAATATTTTAATCCAAAAGAAATATCAGTCTTTCAACACCCATTAAAGTGAGTGCTAGTAATTCCAGTACTTTCCTTTGGGAGGTTTTAAAGGTTTGGTGAACTAGGTGGGAGTTATGACTTGTTTGGGATAGAGGCAGGATCAAGTTTCTTCTTTGAGAGCAAGTGTTGGCCATGGAAGCCCTTTGACCCCTCTGTGGTTCTGCCAACATCTCAGTCCCCTTGATTTGTTGCTAAACCCACTTGGAAAGCAGAGATGTCCCCAGCTGTGAGTTTTGCATTTTGCTATACATTTTAGCAGTCTCTGCTATAAGGAACTGTCAACACTAAATGTACAGCATTGCAGCCAAGGCAGTCTCTGCAGAGCTTCCTGCCAGAAAACTTTATTCATTTGAGGAAGACATCATTCCTTTTCCAACAGAGATGATGTCATCAGGGAAAAAAATTTATATTTTATGCACTGGGTCATTTTTTCCCCCATAATGGGGCACTGTGTGACCCATAATTGGAAGAAAATTGGTCATGATTTAAGAGATGACGTACATCCAGTGTACAGACCATATGTTATGTTCAGGACATGTCCTCTAATTCAGCTGTCTCCACAGGTAGGAGCCTGGTGCCAAATTAGCCACTGCCATCACCACGTGGCTGAACCCAATTCAGAAGAAAATAAATGTTTACATCTTAGCTGAATTCTTTCAGCTTCCTTCACTTTCTCAGTTTAAGACATATGGATTTGTGGCAGTGGTGGGGGACTAGACATTGTGTAAAGCACTCGATTATGCTAATAAATTCATGGTTTATATCTGCAAAAGAATTAATATTGATAAGCATATGTTTATGAGTTTCGTATTCAGCGGAACCTTCCAGCCATATACCTATGTGCCAGCTCTTTGCAAAATCAGGAATCTAGCAGTTTACACAAGCATTGTAGAAACTGTAAATAGGTATGAGTTAATTTTAATTTAGGAGGGGAAATGAGGTATAAAAAATGTTCTCCTCAAACTGTTTACTGACCATAATATTCTGCTATACTGGCTGTGGAGTTCTTTGGTCTGAATAATAGCCATGAAGACGAGAGTGGCTGAGCAGGCAGGAAGAGAAAAAATCCTGAAGGGGAACATGAAGCATGTCTTGTTTTACCCGGAACCTGTATGAGTCTGTGAGTTTAACATGTTCAGTTAAGTGTTCTGTAATTTAAACAACAGAGAGACAGATCTGCTGTCCCAGATACCAAATAACCTTGCTTTCAGCTGAAATTAGAATGCATGATCAGTCAAACACTGATTCAAATGACAGGTTCAGTGAAAAGATACTTTAAAAAATTCCCAATCAGGCCTGCCTATCAAAAATGAATTTTTCTAGTTCATTTGCATTAAAAAATAAACTTCAGTTCAGTAGGGAGGCTGTGTATTGTCCTTTCAACAGAGAGAAAGATATGAACTTACCGCCTCCAGAAGAGAAGTAGAGTCTGACTCTTACCAGATTTTGTCCTCTTGCCAACTCACCTTTCCTCATATAGAGCTTCAGTAGCATGGTCTTAGCTTCTTTGTCTTTGAGATTTAATGCTAACTTCTTTTTTAAAAAATAAATAAATTCAAACCTGCTTTATTGGGCCTGAATAGCAAACGATGAGCTCCCATTGGAGGGTGTCACTGTAAGGAGAATGTTTGTGTTTGTGTGAGAGCACTCAGAGTCTCACTGCTCACGCTGGAAGAGTTTCTTGTGACAGATTATCTCTGGTGATATTTAGCAAGCAGCTCACACGCAACAAATAAAGGCCAGACACGTGTAAGACTGACTGCTTCTGGCAGCTTCATATTAAGATCCATTTTGCCAGATTTGCTTTTGAAGTCTGTGCTCCAAGAATGATGCACGAATACCTGTTCTGAGCTTGTGTCTGTTGTGCTGGAAATGTTATTAAAGCAGGTGCATGCAGCACTTGGGTGCATGGGTTAATGTAGACCTGTCAGTGTTGGGGGAATTCTTGGGCTCAATGGTCTTAGAGGACTTTTCCAGTCCTTCTCAGACTCTGGAGGGGATCTGTTGTTGTCTGCTGCTTGTTTAAGTGCAGGGTGTAAAATTATTTTTAAAAATAATGTTTTTTTCTCTGCAGAGGCCTGACGGTTTCAAGGAGGCCTGTAGTTTACAAGTCAAACTCTCAAAGGGCCCCGGGAATGAGTGCTGACACTGCTCATTCAGCACTTCTGCTGCATTCTAAGATGGTTTCTCTCACAATAAATATTGCAGGCAACCTTGAGCATCCTATGAAAATCTGTCAATAGACATCCTATTTCTCTGTGCTTGCATGGAGCTGGTCTGTTTCCAGTTGTGCAGTGTTGTTGTACTGGGCTGAGGGCAGCAAACAGATTTCTCTTCCATGTGATGTCAGGAATGACACCTGTGCAAGCTCTGGCACAGAAAACCTCTCCTATTTTTTGTAGATACCCTTGTACTTTGCTCTTTGGGTCTGCAGCTCTCCTGCTCATATGTCTCTCAGGTGCTGCAACTACTGGCCAGTCCTGATATAGCAGAGAATGATGAGAGGACACAGAAAATCAAAGACTGACACAATACATGGGCTGTTTGAAGCAGCTCAGGCTCACCATCACTCCAGGAGAAAGAGCTTCTGCTAGGCTCAGGAATTTGGTGAATTACTACACAGATACGAAGAAAAAAAATTCTTTTGAATGGAGGGCAGTAAAGGTAGAAAAGCTGAAAGTGTTTTCACCAAAACCTAAGTGATATAAGAATCTGCAAATTCAGTGTCACACCTCCAGAAAATCATAGGAAGCCAAATTCTACTCTCTGATATTTGCTGTTATTGTAAAATGACTCCCAGAGCAACTGGGGCAAATTTCTCTGAGTTTTCAAAGCTATCAGTAGTAATCAAACGGTTCAAATAATTAAGTAAATTTTTCTTCTAATTCTGAACTTATTGGCCTTGACTAAACTACTGCATACAAATCTGCCAGTGTAGTGTTTTTTGGGGTCTCAGCCTGGGAATTTTGATGGCCATACAGCTTTTCCTTTTCCTGAGAGGGTTTTTGGTATGAAATGGTACAGTTCCTATATGGAAATAGTCTCACATAATGTGAGCTTATATGAACTGATAATTTAAAGAATAAATATTTGGCCCCAGAGCTGATGGCTTTGACAACAGGGAATCAAACTACTTTTTGTGTTTAGCTTGCGGTCCCCTGGTATGTGTAGTATTCCCAGTACAGTGCATCCCACTGAGTTATTTTTCTAACCTAAATGTTGGTTTTCTTTCCTTTGTTCTGGAAGACCCTGAATGAAAAAATAGTAGAAGATTGTTTCCAAGGAAGTATCAGTATGTCCTTGCCCTCTACCCCTACTTTTCCCTGGGTAATCTTTGATCTGACCCGGGGTCCCCACACTATTTATAAGCAAGGTGATAATGGAAGCATTTAGCAGGGCTCAGAAACAGAGGTGTGTGAGCTGTGACAGGCACTGAGGCAGGACATACCAGGAGCTGGATCCCTAAACCTTCTCTGCAAAGTCAGTTGTGCCTAAAGTGCTGCTCTCCAGCCTGCAGCAGTTCAGGCTGACCAGCTTCATACCTTAAACACTTGTGTGACTTTTGTTGCTTAAAAATAGGTAAGGCAAAGCCTGCTTTAGCCATTGTCTATCTTGCCCAAAATTGCTGTAGGTCGTGCTGAGGACTAGCCCTGTCTTTAAGGATTGTGTTGAAAGGCTTGCACAGTTACCTTTGGCCCTTCTTCACATAGAGCACCAGTTACAGCTGAAACAAAGTCCATTAACACTCTCTGTTTGCTGCTCCACACAGCTGGGCTGCTGGCACACTAGAGAAATTTGCATACACTGATTTAACCGTTGGAAAATCTATGCACACAAAAATCTTCTTCTCTTAGACAATGGATTTTCCCCCTTCATTTTGTTGTCAAAATCCTTTTCCCATCTGTTATTGGGGCAAAACAACTTCCTAGTCTGGATGTTTCATTCATGGATAAAGCTTTCATTGGAACTTGTTTTAGGGTTGGGGCAGATTTTGCTCCCAATGAAATGAGTGACAAAACTCCCCATGAGTTGAATTGAGCCTCTCCTGAAAATGTGGGGTTTTAAGAGGACTTATGATGGCTGTGGACAAGGTCTAATTGCTCTACCCTTTCAGAAGAGAACTGTGTCTAGTGGAGGAACAATCAGAATATTTGTCTCTTTAAATGAATGGTTCTCAGAGCCTGCACTGAGAGGCAGGCTCTCTCTCTGCGGCTGTGAGGCTACTCAGAACCTCCAATAAATCAGCATGCAGGCACTGAGAGCTCTGTCCTTGAAGGGATGCATAGTGACCTTGCTCATGCTTACTCTGGAGGAGTAGGGGAAACAGGGGAGCCCAAATAGTGAGCAGTGTGGGACTGAAGGCTCTGTATTCTGCATGCAAATTCCACAGCACCGGAGCCACGGCACAGACGGCGTGCTGCTACAGAATGCAGCTTTCCTGATAGCCTGACCAGACTGCTGCTGCTGTGTTTCTTTTTTTTCTCTTTTTTCCTGCAGGGTTCTGAATGAAATCCTCATGATTGTTGCATGCTTGTTCAATAATAGCAAGCCCCAGTCACGTCTCCTTGTGAGCACATTTGGTCGGAATCAGTGAGCAGAAGCAGAGAAGAGCTGACGACTATGTGCTTCCAACGCAGGTTGCCGGAGCCCTGTGTTTGCCATTGGCTGCAGTTCTCTGGTTTGTGTGCAGCTTCCCCCATCTGGAATATGAAAATGGGATTGAAGTAGATAATTGCTAGCAGCGGGTTTTCAAGAGAGGCTTAGAGGGAACAGAATGCCTCTCACACAGCACAGGCTGCCTGTGCTGAGAGAGCTCTGAGAGATGATTTTAGATGTTACCCACGTCTGAATCTCCTGGAAACTTTGCCATGGAAGCAAGCCATTGCACACAGTCCTGGAGCTGACATCCAAAAGGGGCAAGGAAGGGGCAGCAGATCCAGACAGTGGGATACCTTGTCCTTGGATTGCTCACAGAAAAGCCAGCAGACATTCCCCTCCACTCCCCTGCAAAAAGGGCATGAAGGTGGCAATGAACTGAATTTTACCCGGTGAAGCTTCAGTGGCTTTTAAGAAGGATGGGATACACTGACCCTTCATCAAGCCGGGATTTGCTGGGAAACAGAACTTTGTTCTTCATCTTCATCTGCGCCTTTGCCGTGGTCACCTTGCTGCAGCAGATCCTCTACGGGAGAAACTATCTTAAGAGGTAAGGGGGGATCAGAGGGAATAGGAAAAGTTGTCTGATCAGACTGAGGGGAGACAGAGCTCCAGGGAAACCATATATATTCTCAGTATTCTTGCTGATGATGACAATGTCTTGTCAGTCTGGGAAGGTGCATCCAGCATCTGTAATGTTTGTTAGATTATGAGTGCAGGACTCATAATGGTTATGAGGTTAGGCAGGTTAGGCAGAATATTATGTTTTGTGAGTTTCCTGGATTATGTTTTAATCCTCAACTGCAGTAAAAATATGGGTTTGTATTCAACTTAAAGACTCATGCCACCTGAGTATTTGCCCCTTACAAGGCTTCCCACACTGTGTAAGTTCAGGCTGAAATGGCTTGAGATGTTGAAGTAGCATGTTCATTGCTGAAACTTCAATGTCTAGAAACAAACATGCAGATGCAGTTCCTAAAATCAATATTAGTGTTCCAGATAACCGAGAGAGCACTTTATTTTTGCACTGCTATGTTCTTATGAATTGCTGCTGAGACTGCCTCGCTGTAGAACACATCAGCCTTTGATCTGAAAATGCTCTTTTCACAGCAAACACTGATGGGGCTCTATAAATGTTTAACCTTGACCCATGCAGAGTTTATTTTACTTAAACCTAGTTTGAGAAGTTACAGCTTGCATGATTTTATGAAGATGAATGTTTCCCTTTCATGTTTTGAGGTAAGTGTTTCAGTTGTGTAAGCAGCTGCTGTGGAATTTTTTTACTGGAATTAAGCTGCATTCTGCCAGGAGAGAGAAATGGTTTGGTTCTTGCCTTGCTTGCAACTCATGTAGTTGTTTGCCTTTGCCAAGAAAAAGAAAAATGCTGGCAAATCAGCCAACATTTCTTCCTGGGAGGAAAAAGCAAGCATGATATTAATATGTTTAGACAGGGGTGTTATTTATCCACAGAGCAATTTGTGTGCTTTGTGTTGGACAAGGCCTTGTCTGGGGGAGCTCTGATTTTTTTTATGCACCTCAGCTCCAGTAAGATGTGACTTCCTTAGCTGGAAGAAGCAAGAATGAGCAGAAGCATAAAAAACATGAGTGTTTTGGCTTGGAGAAAATTGAGGGGAGAAAGGTTAACAGACTTGAAATAGCCAGATTAAATCTTAGAAGAAAAAAGCAATAAATACATCTCTCTAAACACTCACAAAGTGCCAAAGTGTTGTAGCAGGAAAGATTTGGATTTAATAATGATGGGGAACTTTTAATGAAAATAATGACCCAGTGAGGTATAAAATCTCCATATTTGGTGAGCTTCAGGAACCTGGTAGGTAGACAAGGGTAGTACTAAGCTTCCTCAGGGTTAAGAATATGAGTTTATGGCCAGGTGGAGATCTCATCTTGCCTTATTTTCTCAGTTTTTCCTCTTTGTCCTGAAGGCCTGGCAGTCCTACCAATCCTTGCTTTTCCAAGTCAGAATTACTGCAACAGGGGGAGAGAGAAGAAAAATAAATCACAAGTACAAACGGACATGAAAAATGGCAGAGTAGAGATAAGATAAAATTATGAGAAGATGCAACTAGAAACTCTTCCACTGAGTGATGTCTGTGGCCTACCTCTCTCCTGCCTCATGCCTGGGGAACCTCTCCTGTCATCATCAGGGAATGAAAAAAGGCTGATGTCCAATTCCAGGGATTCCAAGGACAAAGTCTGGTTCTGAGCCCTCTGCCATCAAAGAGTCCCAAGTAGGGAGATGAGTATATATTTTGTCACTTCGACTGGAAAACACTGCTGGTTTGTTTTCTTTTCGTTTTTTTCGTTTTTTTTGTTTTTTTTTTTTTTTACTCCAGTTTGCAATGATTTCTTTTACTTTTTTTTTTCTTTCTTTTTTTTTTTTTTTTTTTAATTAACCATGTGAAAATAATCTCATAGAGGGCTCCCCTAACTCAGTACAGGGAAAAAAAAAAGCACCTCAGCTCCTTTCTGTTGGGAATTGGCAGTTCCCGTCTTCCATGGAAATAAAAATGTAGGATGTGGCTCTAAGTTTTTGGTGACAGAAAGGTGATTTAAGCAGCAGTCTGCATTGTTACCACAATATTATTATGAAGGTACTTTTTTTTTTCAGCTTTCCTTTTCTTCCCTCACTCTTAATGTCCTGCAGTACCTTCTGGTGAGCATTCCAGGGCAGTCTGATTGCCAGTGAGCTCCGTGCAGGGGCAGCTGTAACCTTTAATTACTCTTGCATTTCACAAACCAACCTCCGGTGTTAAGCCCCCTGCTAGAAGCTGATTCCGGCTGCGAGGCTCCTTGGATATGTTTTAACTTGTGCCTGGTGATTTTGGAGAGGCTCCTTGGAGAAAGGAAGGGGGATATTTATATCCCTGGTGCCACTTGCCAAGCTGGAGCTCGGGGACGCTGCCTGAATCCATAGCCATTTACTCGCTAGGATTCTACATGCTGCTTGTTTGGGATGCCTTTGTCTGCATCCCAACACCTGCAGCAACAGCGGGCCGTATGGCCTCCTCCCTGGGCAGCAAGAAGAAATTCCCTCGTGTGTTTGGAGAAACCTGAAAATTACTCTAAAGTACTGTTTCAGTAAATGCACAGTGCTTTTAATTCTGAATATAACACCAGGGTAGCTCTTTTCTCTGCAAGAAGATGGTGGAAATGGGCGAAGGCCAACAAGGCAGGGAAGGTGACCTAAACCAAGCAGCCCGAGCACAATGCAAGTGACAGCACAGACTCAGGACTGATCCCAAAGAGCAGAGTGGAGAAAGGAACCCTTTTCTGGGAGAAAGATGGAAAATTTGCGTTGCTGTAAGCTGTGCCATGCCACTTGCCCTTACAAGCAGGGAATGGGCTGGTTTGATAGCCATGAAATCCCACCTGAGGCTGTCCATGGAGGATTGGGGTCCTGCACTTGCCCATAGCCATCTTCCCAGGGCACCTGTGGGGGTGGCAGGACTGTAGACAGGAAAGGATGCTCCAGGAAATAAACTGTGCTCAGTGAAATTTGATAAGGGGCCCAGCCTCTGGTCAAAGTTCTCTCTTTCCCCTTCTGGGATGTTAATGAACTCCTGGCATTGCTGGAAGAAGGGGACAATGTAAAGATTGAATTTCTAGGCATTCACACATTTTTTACCCACTGTATAATGTTCCCCACTCCTTCCTTTGCAGTTTTATACAGTGTCATTGGAAAGCATAATCCTGTCCACCTTTCTTTTTTTTTTTTTTTTTTTTTTTTCCCTTTTTCAGTTTTCTCCTGGGTGGGATGGATATGGGTGTTCTCATGAAGGCCAGTGCCTCATTCCTGTAGATGCATCTGAAGTCTTGAACAGGAGAGCCAAACTGCAAGCTGGAGAAATGACATCAGGAAGCTCTGGTCTCTGCAGCTTCTGATCCCAAGTAAAAAGGATGATGAAATGAGATATAATTAAGGGACTTTAATACCAATCTCTGGGGTAATTATTTTTATTTCAGGATTAATGTGATGATTAAAAATCTACTGCATTGATCTGCTAAAGTAGGTTAAATGCTGTGGTCTTCTGCTTAAATCCAGAGCTGGCGCTTGCTTTTGTATTGACTCATCTTTCCAATGCTTGCCTTTCAGCTGAATTTTCCTTTGAATCAGATGCTCAGCTGAGGGCTGGCCTTTTTTTTGTCAGTTCTTGTTTGGCCAGCAGGGAATAATCCTGGATTACATCAGGAAACTGCCATTACAGTAAAAAAATGTTGAAATCTGTCTTCATCTCCCAACCTGTATCGTGGGAGAGATCAATAGGACAGTCCTTCCCTTTGTCAAGGGAAAAATATCAGAGCAATACTTTGCTATATACCAATATTCTGTTGGCAAGAAATTCACTAAATTCTGGGTGTTTTAACAGACTGACTTCTGCACAGGGAGAGTGTCACCTGAAGAAGAGAATCTGCACCTTTAAAACTCCTTTTCTTCAGCTGAGTGAGGAGAACACATTTCCAAAACTATTAAAGACTCTCAACAAATATTACCCCAGGGCCTGCCAGAGGGTAAATAAAAAATGAATCACACAGCAAGAGTCAGCAAACCTTCCCATGCAGGCAGCCTGCATTATTTGAAAGCTTTGTCTCTTCTAAATGAGAATAAAATATTACTCTTATGTATGTGTGCCCTCTTACTAATATCAGAATCTCATGACTTGAGGTAAACCCATCATTTATGAATATCTTAGGCAGCTTTTATCCAACAGTTGCAAATCGATTCCCAGGCATTCTTACTTTTTTCCTTACCATATAAGATTATTTGTGATCAATTTCTGCACTGTATGGACTAAAGGAATAAGCCCAGAGAAAATAAACTTTAACTACACATTTAGTCTGTACCCTAAAGTCACGTAATTCTTACAGCAGGGACAGCGGGAATTGCAATGGGGACATGGAGGCTACTTGTGGCCCAAGTTGTATTTTGTCCTAAACTGGGTTTTTTGTCCTAACTACAGCCAGCTCAGGTCAGTTGAGAGCTCCTGCCCCACCCTTGGCACAGCTGCTAATACCATGTGAAAGTGTTAGCCATAACCTAGCCATTCCTATGTTAAAACTCTCCTTCCATTTAAACGTCTGCCCCAAAAGGCGTAATTTGAAGGTCACGTAGTGAGTCATCTCTCTCTGCTAACATAGCTCTGTGCTTCCAGCTCTAACCAGAGGGAATTACTACCCCACAGAAATTACCTGTATCCTATGAGTCATCTGGATGAATCCCTGACAAGGTGCTGGGCAGGTCTTGGGTTTGGGAGGCTTTCTTCAGAGAGGAAACTTCAGAACAAAGCAAAGTCTTCAAACAACATAGAGCACCAAAAAAAAAGTGTATTTACAGGATATGGGCATCACCTTAAAATGGCCAGATCCAGTTGAGCACAGCAGGAGAAGCTGACACTCTAGCCATGCTGCTCCTGCTACAGGATGTTCCCAAGACCATCCATGGGGTGCAGGCATCCATGTTGGCAAGGGAGTGGAGGGGGCAGAACCAACAGGGAGTTGATGGATTAATTCAGCTGTCTCCAAATTCATGGG